CAGGCCAGGAGCTGCCCCAGTCGGCCCTGGGCTACAACCTGGGGGGGCTGAGGTGAGACCGCCATAGGCTCCTCTTCTTTTTCTGCTCTGGCTCTCACAAGTCGGCATCCGCAGCACAGACTTTGGGCTGGTGGGGTCATTCAATACATTGCTCGCATGTGGGCTAAAACGTGTTTAAACAAAAGCAGGAAACAGCACCTGCCCAGTTACTGCCTCGCATAGTCGTCGGTGTGCGGTCCTCTCTGGCCTGCTCATGGCATACAGGCCGCGTCGGTCAGCGCCCTGCGGAGCCTGTCAGGGCTGGGCCTGCCCCAAGAGCGCTGCCACGTGCCCTCGTCTCTGCTGTGTGGAATCCACTTGCCCTGACTTCCTCCCGCCACTTTCCGTCACCTGGAGCTAACTGGCCCTAGTCCCCGAGAACAGCGGCTCCCTGGGTGACCCCAAGCTCTGTCTGTCACCCATTATTTTTCAAGCCCATCATCCTCCACTCGGTCCCTGTAGCTCCTCTGACTGCTGGAGGCCCTAAAGGGCAGAGACTTCCTTGAGTCTCCCAGCCCCGCAGACAGGCCACCCAGCCAGTGCCCCCCAGGCTGGGGCACGTGGATGTTGGGCGTGCACGGCCCTCGGCCATGGAATCGGGGTGCCCGGGAAGGCGCAAGAGCCACCTGGTTTCTGTGGGGACCCGGGGAACAGGGGCGCCGGTGGCAGCGTGAGCAGCTTTTCCAGCGGAATGGCGCCGCGGCCCGGGGGCGGCCCGGGACACGAGCCCGCGCTCCCCGGGTGTGTGGGAGAAGCCGGTGTCTGACCTGGCGGGTAGAGTCCGCCTCTAGAGCCTGGGAGGGGCCCGCGCCCGCCACGCGGTCGTCAGCGGCTGCGTCTGTGCGTGTGCGTGCTGCGTGCTGCGTGCGCATGCGCTGCGCCAGTTCTGGCACTGCGCAGGGCACGCGAACGCCTGGGGTGTCCGGACTTCCGCGTTGCCCCGCCCCGCCCCCCACCCGCGGGCAGGAGACGGCATGTTTCTGCGCGAGAAGGGCAGCGTCAGTGTCCTCAGGTGCCTCGTGACAGGTGCAGCTCCACTCACCTGGGGCTCAGACCCAGGCGGCCGAGCCGGAGCCGAGCTCTCCCCGGCTCTCCCTGCGGGCGCTCTCCCGAGCTCCTGCCCGGAGCGGCTGCAGCAGAGCTTGTGCCCCCGCGGCGCGGCTGACCACGCCGATAAAATGCGGCAGAAGGGCCAGGCCCTTCCCCAGGGCCGTCCCTCCCAGCGGGCAGCACGCAGGCCGGGCACCCCGCCTCACCTCGGGGCCAGGCCAGTGGGGTCTCCCCCGCTGTGCTGGTGCCCAGTAAGCGCTGCCGGAGGACGTGTGTCCAGCCCTGCTGGCCGTCCTGCCGGCAACTTGGGTTTGCTCCTTGTAAGTGCCAGCCAGTTCCCATAGGGAAGCTGATCGAAAAGAAAGCAAGTAGTTTAAAGACCCCTTAGAATAAAGAAAAGCAGTAGCCTGAATGTGAACGTGATGCGGAAGGCAGCTGGAGCAGAGCTTTCCTGCAGGCTGGGGCTGTGCCAGCAAGGGAGACACCGCCCCCTCTGGAGGGGCCCTGGCACCCCTCTGGGCTGCTGATGGACTCGCCATCTGCGGAGTGCAGTATGTGGCTACCGCAGAGGACCACCTTGGGGAGGCAGCTCCTCATTTGCAAAGGAGTTGTCAGGTCTCACCTGCCCCATGGAGTTGTGTGACCCAGCCCCCTGTGTGGCACCAGGGACCTTGATAAGGTCCCAGTGTCACCACCCCACCCACCCCAAACCCTCCCTAGCCGGCAGAATTCCCAGAGTGGCGGGGCCACTGCCCCGACAGGGAAGCAGGGCGCTCCCCGCGGTGGATGCCTGGCCACTGCGTCATCACGCCACTGTCTGTTCTGGTCTGATGCTCTCTGGAGGGCCCCGCCCTGCCCCTGGCAAGTATTTAATGGGTGCTGAAGCGTGTGGCCACCTGCCCGTCCATCATACAATTTCCTGGTGTGGCCTGAAGAGAACATCTCTACGAAAACGACCAGCTTCCAGAGAGGACTCACCGTCCCCCCCCCCCACCCCAGCGAGCCCCCTCTTCACGGGAGGCACCTGCCTGGGCTTGGCGCCTCCTGGTGCCGGGGATCTTCTCACCAGCTCTTCCAGGAACCGCTAAAGGAAACGCTGTGAAGTTGTGCTTTACAGGCTGAAACTTTTTTAGACACTGTCAAAAACCTTCCATGGTGCTAAAGTATATACAGCATGAAATTGGTCACCGTAGCCGTGTTTCAGTGTGTTACTTCTCGAGTCCCTTGTCCAGCCTTTGGGGATTTGAGGCGTGTTCTCAGACAGCATTAAGTCACTGGGAATTCTGGAGGCCAGGCTGTCAGCTTGTGGAATCTCCAAGGGGAGGAGGGGTCAGCGCCCGCATTTTCCTGGGTGGAGCAGAGTGAGTTACACTTCCTGGTCTTTGTTCAGAAACTGAGGTGCGGTTCACACCTCCACCCCTTTTTTGCAAACTATATTCTTTTTTGCTTTAAGGTCAACCTGCTAGCTATGAATCTAAGGCGGTTAAAAGATTCATAATTCTATTTTAATTACAGCCCAAGGAGTGCTTCTAAGTGGTGTGTGCCAAGATGAAATAAATCAGGATGTTTAATTGCCAGTTGACCACAGTTTTTGCTTGGCTCTTTCAGAAGTGATTCTGCAAACGGGGCCTTTTTCCTTTTAACTCCTCGGTTCCCCTTTTGCTCTGGGCTGTGGAGGAGCACTCTCGGTTCCCTCTTTTGCCCCGTGCACTCTTTCATTGAGTGTTTAAGCTACAGCAGATGTGTTAGCCTAACTGGGCAGTTATTTTGAGTTCCTGGTTTCCCAAAACACTCTAGCCAGGTAGCGAAACTGCTTGGAAATACTCCCTGAGCTTTTCTCCACAGAGACGGAGACGGCGCGTCCCTGACCAGGAAGCCTGGGTGGAGCCTGTGAGGAGCTGAGAGGAGGGCGCCCAGGGCCAGCGCCAGAGACCCGAGTGGGCTCGAGGGCTGAGAACCAGGGGGAGATTCCAGAGGGGCAGGTGCTTCCCTTGCGGTCCCTTCTCAGCTCTGAGAAGAAAACACCCACGAGGACAGAGACGAGAACAGGAATCGCGCGTCCCCTTGAGGCTGGCCTTGTGAGCCGGGCCTTCGCCCTCGGCTCAGCTCCCTGACTACGGGCCGGAGGGCACGCGCAGGGTGCGAGAGGCTCCGCTCTGCAGGCGACTCCCTCCAGGGGCCTGTCTGGCCACTTAGGGGCGAAAGGCACCCTCAGGCGAGGTTCCTGGGTCTCCTCAGGGTTACCCAGAAAGCAAGTCCTGTTGCTGCTGGTGGGAAAGGAGCTTTCAGGTCCCAGCAACAAGCAGACGTCAGTCCCGGTTCTGGCAGCTTTGCCAGCAGGAGCTGCGTGCCACACGGCATTTGCTTCTCTCTCCCGAGGGGTGCACGCCCGTGACAGTGTGCCGCTTTCCTTACTTTCAGTGAGTACCCAGCAGCGGTCGCCGGCCTCACGCCCTTTGCAGCCTCACTGTCCAGTCCAGAACTGCTTCTTCCCAGCCCCCAGCCCCCTCTCCAGCCCTGGTCGCCACCACACTGCATTCTGTCTGTATCAACTGGACGTTTTACTTTAATTTTTCAGTGTCTGGAGAACAGAAGAAAGGTTATTGAAGCATGCCACTGAGCAGGGCAGAGGCGAGCGAGGCGGGGGAGGCTGTCTGTGGGGGAGAGGGTCCCCGGCTCCTCAGGCCCCAGGCACCAGTGACGGGCTGGGGTATCTAGTCTTGGTGTGCCCGACCCAGGCACCCATGCAACCCCACCCATTCCCATGCAACCTGGCTCCCAGGCAACCCCACCCATTCCCCTCATCCATTCCGCCTCCAAACTATCCAGTTGGGCAAGGCAGGGGGTGGGCGTAGCAGCTCATCTCAGCGATGATGACACAGCATTCCCCTCACCTGAGAGAAGTGTCAAACGCTTGATGCTGGTCACAGAGGCTCCTCCCGCCACCCATGCGCAGGACTGCCCCTCACAGGGGCCCTTGGGGTGCCCAAACCAGACCCCTTTGGTGCCCTCCATGAGCCAAGCAACTCACTGAGGGTACGGACGGGAAGAAGGCTGTTCTCCACGTGAACGGGCCAGCGGGCCTTGGGGCGCCTGGCACCTTGAGTGCCGTCGGGGTGCACCCCAACCAGACGCCTTCTAAATTGGGCTGTTTTAGAGGTCCCAGAGGAGAGTTGCAGTATTTGTCCTCTCGTGCCTGGCTCCGGTCACGAAGCGTAACGTCTGCGGGGTTCGTGCCCGGCGTGCCTCGCGTGATCGGCGTGACCTTCCTTGTTAGGGCTGAATAGCAAATGCTCCATCCACTTAGCGGGCACGTCGGGTTTATCCGCTGGCCCGCCGTGATCACGTGGGCCGCCGCCCTCTGGCTGCTGTGACAGTGTGGCGGCCTGGGTGCAAGTCCCGAGTCTCTGCCCGCAGTTCCTCGGGGAGGGAGTGCCTCAGCAGGGCAGCCAGCTCCTGCGGGCATCTGGTGCACGAAACAAACGTTTAGTTTTCACAACTTGTGTTGTTTTTTATTGTGGTAACATGGGTTTGCCACATCGTGTATGATTTAGGGGTGTGCCACCCCACCTCACCCACCACCAGAGCCCCTCCCCAAACCCTCATCCTCGGTGGACCTCAGTCCTGCAGTCAGATGTCAAGGGTTTGCTTGGGGTGGTCTGTTCTGCGCTCTGTAGTCTATGTTCCACTTAGGGGTGAATCTCCCTGCATTTGCCTTTCTCCTGACTTAACGTGTTCGCGCTTCCCAGGCACCACCTTCAGTTTGGGGGGCCCTCCCCACCCGAGGAGCGCAGGGACGGGCCCCCTCAGCTGGGGGAGCCCTCTAGGATGCTCCCTTTCAGCAGCAGCAGCGGCAGCTGCGCCTCAGGCTTGAGCCCACCGCCTCAGGTGTTTTGCGTCCTCTCTTCCAGGCTCTCCAGAGCAACCTGAACTATTCCTTACTGCCAAGCCGGTTCATCATCAGCAAGCGGCTGGCCCAGTGCCTGCACCCGGCGCTGCCCAGCGGGGTGCACCTGAAGGCCCTGGAGACTTATGAGATAATCTTCAAAATCGTGGGCACCAAATGGCTGGCCAGGGATCTGTTCCTCTACAGGTACCGTGGCTCCCGCATCCCCCGCCCCCCCCACCCCGCTGCGTGGCCCAGGGAGTCTGTTTCAGTTCACAGGATGAGAAAATAAGGAGTAAAAAGTAGGGGTCACTCATGAGGGCGGTGCCGGCCATAACCAGGCCCACCGCAGAGTGCGTGCTCCCGCACGTCCCCCAAGTATGTTCTCTTTCTCACGCCCCCTCCCTTTATTTTTTTAAAGGTTAAATTTTCATTATGCACACATGAACAGGGGTGCAGGCCAGAGGTGCAGGGGGTGGGGGGCGAGAGGACTCACCAGACAGAGCGGGGAGCAGAACAGGCGGATCTACTGCGGGCGCAGCGGGGAGACAGGAGGAGCCTGCTGCGCCCCGGGGTCCCTCCCTGGCCGGGGATGGAACTCGTGCTGCAGCGGCTGGCTGTAGCTCGATAGTGCTGAGACTTCAGCCCCCGCGCCCCCAGGCCCCAGCCCCTTTGTGAGTGTCTGCTAGTCTCAGGCCGTTCTGCATTGGCGACTCATGCCCTGCACGGCCTTGCTTCCTCGCGCACACGCATGACAGCGTCCGCCAGTCCGGTCTCCGCCCTTCCGACTTGCCTTTCTGCACGTCACTGCCGTGAGCCCCCGCCCAGGCCGCTGCTGTCACAGCGGGGTCCGTCCGTCCGTCTGTCCGTCCGTCCTCATGGCTGCAGGCGCTTACTGGCGCGAGTGCCAGCTCCCGAGCCGGGCCTCGCCCTGCACTGCGTGGCTCCCACAGCCTGGCCACGGCGCGTACTGCCGCAGCAGGTGCCGTGGCCGGCGCCGTGGCACGGCTCCCCGAGTTGATGATTTCTCTTCACGCGTGTGCTGGGAGGGGTGTGGTGTCCCCACCGCCGCTGCACCTCGTGGCCGCACCTGTGACCGGCTCACACGCGCCTGTGCTCCCCAGCCAGGTCGCCAGCCGCCCCCCGAAACCTGACCCCTGCACTGCTAGTGAGGCTCTCACCGCCCCGCCCCTCTCTCTCCCGAAGCTGCGGGCTGTTCCCGCTCCTGGCGAACGCGGCCATGTCGGTGAGGCCCGCGCTGCTCAACCTGTACGAGACGTACTTTCTCCCGCTGAAGAAGCTGCTGCTGCCCAGCCTGCAGGCCTTCATCATGGGGCTGCTGCCTGGCCTGGAGGAGGGC